GGCTGCGCCTCCCCCCGCCCGCCGCGAGCGGTCTGCGACCGCCGTCCGGTACGGGACGTGTGCCCAGCGGGCGGCAAGAGCCTCTCGACGGCGAAAGCAGCAGCTCACTGGAAAGTGGGCCAAAGACGCGAGCGGACGCAGGAGAGGACGCACAGACAGCGGCGAGCGCGTCAGCACGCCTCGACTCGCCAGCCGGGGGGGAGCCGCCCAGTCGGGCCGGCACACGCCTGCCGAAACAGCCGAAACAGAACCAGCGGCACAGCAGACGCCGGGTCGGACGCGGAACGAGTGACTCACGGCTGCCGGAGGGAACGTCAAACGGAGCAGCCGCTGCGCTGAACGAGCTGGCGATTCCTGACAAAACCAAACACGCAGGGGCCCCGGGTGCCTCCGCCGCTGACTCTTGTTTTGACTCAGTCCGTGATCTTAGGGTGGTGGGAGGAGCCCCATTGGGCCCTTCACTCGGCAGGGAGTCGGCTGGAGAGTCTCTCCCTCTGCCCCTCCCCTCACTCATGCCCCCTCTCTTTCTAAAATAAACCGATCTCTAAAAAAAAAAAAAGAAAAGAAAAGAATAGGGGCACCTGCGTGGCTGGGTGGGTTAAAGCCTCTGCCTCCGGCTGGTGTCATGATTTCAGGGTCCTGGGATCCAGCCCCGCATCGGGCTCTCTGCTCAGAGGGGAGCCTGCTTCCCCCCAACCTCTGCCTGACTCTCTGCCTACTTGCGATCTGTGTCTGTCAAATAAATAAATAAAATCCTTAAAAAAAAAAAAACATGAAACATGCATTAGCATGCAACCCAGTGACTGCAAATTTAGGCATTTACCCAAAAAAATGAAAACGCACAATCACCCAGAAACCTACACACGGATGCTCACTGTCCCACTCTTGGTAACAGTGAAAAGCCGGAATCCACCCAACTGTCCTTCGAGGGAGGTAAGTTAGATACTGTGACAGCTCCGTGCCGTGGAAGCCCGTACAGCAATGAAAAGGAACAGACTCCTGATTGCAAGAATTTGGATGAATTTGAGGGAAAAAAGTCATTTTCATGACATTCCCTTTCCATGACATTCTTGACATAAAATTACAGGGACTAACGTGGGTAGCTACGTGTTTGTGGTTGCCACGAGGCGAGCACGGGGAGCAGGGGACGTGCAGCTGCAGCAGGGGCCATGAAGGGACGTCCATGCTGATGGAAGAGTTCACCCTCTAAAGATGGTGGTGGTCCCAGGAATGTACCTGTGGGACAGAACTGCACTGGGGGGCACCTGCGGGGGTCAGTCGTTGACTGTCCGACTCCTGCTCTCTGCTCAGGTTCTGATCTCTGCGTCATGGGATCGGCTCTGTGGGGCCCCGCACCCAGCAGGGAGCTTACTCGTCCCTCTCGCTCAGCTCCTCCCCCAGCGCGTGCTAAGTAAATGAAATCTTCTTTAAAAACTGCACAGAACCAGCCAGACACACACACACACACGAGTGCGTGTGCACCAGTGACATACAGACACACCCCGGGGGTCGTCCCCCTGGTCTCCCGCTCACACCACACACCGCAGTGAGCCCAGATGCTGCCACGGGGCACACTGGGTGCAGGGCATAGGGGACCTCCCTGGATTTCTCCAGACCTTCCTGCCATCCATAATTCTTTCTAAAAACTTTTAACCAAAAGCAAAGTGGGCTGTGGTAATGCTGCACACGCACACACAGTCACTAAAGATGACCGAACTCCACTTGTACGGCAGGTCTCTCTGCCACACAAAACATCTCTCAACAGAGCGGCTGGTAAAACAAGAAACAGTAATTAAGTCCTGACGAGTTCACGTGGGTAAAGTGGATCCTCATGGGGCACTCCTCCGGCTGGCCCCCGAGTCCACAGCAAGGCCCAGCTGGCCTTGCTCTGATCTGATTCAACCACCACAAGCTTTCCTTGTCCGGTGGCCGTTCTCGGGGGGCAGGGGCCGGGGCTGGGGCTCGGCTAGCACACGTCTTTAGGAGCTGGAGTCCACACTGTGTTTCCTCATGTATCGTACAGCTTGGACCCAGAAGCTTCTGTCTGTCGCGCGTGACGTCTGCCCACACCACAGCACTTGTTGGCAGTGCTCTCATTTGGGGTCCGGCCCCTGCATTCCTTCCGGATTGCACAAGTCTAAAAGAAGCTTCCAGAGTCTGCCTCAGGATCTGTGCAGACCTGGACAGAGACCACAGAAAAGGCTACGGAAAAGGCAGCTGTCCGTTCTGTACAACGAGAAGAGACGTGGCCCTGCCACGGCAAACTTGAAAGGGCTCCCCTCTGTATTATAGTGGCAGGACAATTAAACAGGAAACTTCAGTGGAAACAGGAAATCGTTTAATCCAAAATATCTGCACATTTTAACTCAGGGCAAACTGTCAGGGCAGGAACACACTACTCGTCTGACCTTCCTCTACCAGGCCCTTTCATCCTCTATGCTCGTGCTTTACCGGAATGGCTTATGTTTTTTCTGTTCTTTATTGATTTAAGAGTGTGCAGAGGCACGCACGAGCCCATGAGCAGGGGAGGGGTGCAGGGGGAGACGCTCTCAAGCAGGTGCCACACCAGCACGGATCTCAGGGTCAGCACCACCTGAGACCATGACCTAAGCCAAGTCAAGAGTCAGATGCTCAAACTCCTCCGGCCCCAGGTGCCCGGCGTACTTTTAAGGATCACATCTACAATGCTCACAAAGCGCGCATTTTCCCTATCCTTATTGATTAAGGAAGAAAAGGAAAGCGAATGTTCTGCCCAGTTAAGTCTCAACCTTAACAAGGACGTCTCAGCAATTTCAGTAAGTCACGAACCCACAGGCACATGGCTAACTTTTACCAAATTCCTTCTGGTCTGCCGGTCGGCGTCCTTGAGACCAGGAAACCTCGGGGCCCTGACAAACGAGCCAGCCCTCCGCCTTAGCTCAGCATGACCTAGCCTAGGACCACGCTAAGATTCAACTTTCATTATGTGACACTCGACCTAACTCGGTCTCGGTACTAAAACTCTTTCCCTGACCTTTTCTGCTTGCTCAGTATTAAAGTCTGTACAAAACCCACCCGTTCGGGGGAAAGTCCACAGCAGCCACAAACCGTTGGAACTCCCTCCCATGAGGAGGCAGCGTGACCAGACACTCCGCATGAGGCAGCGGTCCTGTGACGCGCTACCTGGCCCCCTGACCGCGTTGACAGCGCCTCCTGAGCCCGCCATGCTGGGACGACCACGGGAGCTGCACGGACAGCGGTGGGCCACCCGCCGGCGCACAGGGAACGGCATATGCTAGCTGCTGTTCCTCGTACTGTTATCGACTCAGTGGTTAAAAATAAAAACATACACACTCCGAATTTCATCGGATGTGGCAGGACTGTTCCAGTTTTACAGACGAGAAAGGGAAACAACTAAGTCCACACAAAAGCCATGAATGTGTAATTTTGAAGAAATATTATTAGTCTCAGCAAATAGTAAAACTCATCGGCTACTTCTAACATCAACAAATTATGATCAGTAATGATCCCCTAGGTTAATTCAAATATTTCTAATTAATACATCCCTGATTATAAATTATAATGTGCACTTTTTTCAAGATTCTTATCATGCTGTGGCTTTTAATGTCCTGAAGTGGTCTTTTTTTTAAGATTTTATTTATTAATTTGATAGAGAGAATGAGAGGGAACACAAGCAGGGGGAGTGGCAGGGAGCCTGACATGGGGCTTGATCCCAGGACCCTGAGACCATAACCTGAGCCAAAGGCAGACACTTCGCTGATGGAGCCACCCAGGTGCCCTGAAGTGGGAACATAAAAATCAGGGGCGTCTGGGTGGCTCCGTTGGTCGAGTGTCTGACTCCTGGCTCCAGCTCAGTCCATGACCTTGGGGGCCCTGACATATTCCCCGCATCTGGCTCCTCGCTCAGCGGCAAGTCTGCGTCTTTCTCGCTCTCCCTCTCCCACTGCCCCAACTCGAGCGCCCACACACATGCTCTCTCTCTCAAATAAGTCTTTTTAAAAAATGAAACGTAAAAAGAGTAATATAAACAGGAAGTGACAATCACAAGGCATCCAGTGAATAGCCTCCACATGAAATGGTCAAAAAATCAAATGTTCAACTATTTTCCAAGCATTCAGAATTACGTATGTTTTACTATTTTTTAAGACTTACATATTTATTTTAGAGAGAGAGCACACACACGCACAAGAGCACAGGGATGGGGAGTGGGGGACAGAGAGAGAGAGAGAGAAAATCTCCAGTGGACGCCCCGCTGAGCACTGGGCCTGACGCAGGGCTCGATCCCAGGACCCTGAGATCACAACCGGAGGGGAAATCAAGAATCTGACACTTAACGGACTGAGCCCCCCGGGCGCCCCCATAATTCTGTACATTTTAAACTATAGTCTCTTGAGGCTCAAGGGCTAGCGCGGCCGCCGCAGCGCTGTGGGGTGTCCGGCAGCGGCCCGCGGGCGTTGTACCTTCTTCTCTCTCATGCTGTCAGCCTGCACGGCCTCCAGGCGGGCTCTGAAGTGCGCACAGTCCGTCCTCAGTTGCTCTACCTCTTGCTCTTTCCTTTCCAGGTCTAGAAAGAGAGACACACAGTAACACTCAGTGTTTCAAATCACGAGTCCCCTCTAAGAGCCCATCGTGCCGCATCTGTTAGGAAAACGGGCCCTGGCCGCTCGGGGGGACTAAGTCACAGAACCGGGCCTTCGATGACCAACATTCTAAAAGTTCTGCTTTCCAGGTTTCTGTCCGTTTTTAGCCCATACCAGACAGTACTTTTGTCGTTGTTTTCAGTCTTGGGTTTTAAGACCTCATTTTACTGCCAGATCGTAGTCAAGGCTTTAAGGAAGTGGGTTATGTAAGAGACTGAAGGCAAGGCCGAGAAGCCCGCCCGCCTCGCGGCACAGACTTGGATCTGCTCCACGGCAAGCAGGAGGCGGCGGGGCGCGGAGACGGCGGCAGCCGCGGCTGATTCACACCGACTGGCAGACTGACTCAGGAGGAAGAGCCGCCGCGGCTGTCAACGGCACATTTGTGTCTGAAATCAAAGTCTGATGGATTTTTCTTTAATTTTTTTTTTAAGATTTTATTTATATGACAGAGAGAGATCACAAGTAGGCAGAGAGGCAGGCAGGGGGTGGGGGGGTGGGGTTGCAGGCTCCCCGCTGAGCAGAGAGCCCGATGCAGGGCTCGATCCCAGGACCCTGAGATCATGACCCGAGCCAAAGGCAGAGGCTTAACCCACTCAGGCATCCCACGTCTGATCAATTTTAAATAAAGGATATTATGACGTAGAAATACTGACATTTAAAAAGCAAAGAGGGGCGCCTGGGTGGCTCAGTGGGTTAAGCCGCTGCCTTCGGCTCAGGTCATGATCTCAGGGTCCTGGGATGGAGCCCCGCATCGGGCTCTCTGCTCAGCGGGGAGCCTGCCTCCCCCCCATCTCTCTGGTGCCTCTCTGCCTGCTTGTGATCTCTGTCTGTCAAATAAATAAATAAATAAAATCTTTAATAATAAGCAAAGAAACATAAGACTTAAAAATTTAAGGGTCCTGACTTCAGGTCCTAAGAAATCTTCCACTTTTATGCGACCGTAGATTGAGAGCTGAGGGGAATGCAGTCCTCGCACCTTCTCCAACTCAGGCCACGGTGCTGTGGACAGTGGTCCCCACGCGTTACTGTCCACCAGGAGCCCCTAAAGGGCAGAGCTGCCGATTCAGGCCTGGGAACCTGCCCTTCCAGCAAGTTCTCAGGTGACACAGATGGCGCTGGTCTGGGAACAGACTTTGAGAGATACGGCTTCAGGACGACAGCCTGGTCTCTGGTCATCAACACAATGAAATCCACACACAACCAGCGCGAGCCAGCGCGAGCCCAGCAACCGGAACGTGGGGGCGGAACACCAGAAGGCGGTGGGAGGCAGCAGCCCGCAAGCTGGCACTTCCCTCTGCCTGAGGGGGAGATGGCTGGCAGCACCGCTCGGGGGAGGTGTGGACAAGAGGAGGGGTGCGGCTTCATGGCCCAGGGCTTGGAGAAGGTGGGGGACTGCCAAGAACAGCAGGGGCATCCCCGAAGCTCTGGAGAAGCGGAGTCTGCGTGTTCAGGGAACATTTGTCCTAGAGGGAAGATGAGCACCTAAAGCTGCGTATTCAGCTCCAGACTCAGAAAGCGGCCGGCAGAAGTGCTCTCAAAATGCGTTTCTCAGAAGCCACGGGAAATAAAGTGGGACGATCTCCTCTGCTCAAGTCCTCCCTTCCGCCACGTGTCATGCCACATCGGGACCCTCCCCGGGATTCTGCTCCGGGCCGCGCAGGAAACCAGCCATCCCTCCAGGGCTTTGCTTCGACGACTGCACACCTGCGCCGTGGAACGACGTAAATGAAGACTTGCGTTATTTGTAATTATGAGTGAACTATGAAGTGCACATGGTCAGCAAAAAAAAGAAAAACAGAACTAAAATAAAATTATTAGTGGTGGAAGCTTTCTCTTCCCAGCTCACTTCTGAATTTGCGTGTATCATCAAGCTGTACGTCACTCACACGTGGCAAAGGAGACCCAACATCTCATCTCTACGAGCCGCACGTACAAAACTAAGCAGGAATTCATTCTGGCCGCCCAAAAGTTTCTCATCAGGACAACTTCACACTCGCTCTGTGTAGCTGTACCTGACCCTGCCACAGGCTGCCATAATGAGGGGCAGGATCAGGCGTCCCACTCCCCCCAGGTGCCGCACAGAATTCCAAGTCCGCACCCGCCCACCCCAAGCACCCGGAGGCGGCAGGCGCCTTTCCGCTGTACGAGGCCGCCGCCTGGTGGCCGGGGGGGGAGCACTGCCGCCGCCTTCCGACAAAACCCACGCCCTGCTCTTCCCGCGCGGCCCCCGCAGGGCCTGCAGCCCCGAACAAGCCCTGGACAAGGCAGGCACTGTCACCCCAAATCCCTACAGTGGCACTTGGAATTTTATAAATATTTGTCACGCGGAAGAAGTTCACTTCTCTGCCCACTCCTTCTGCTAACCCTCGAACAGAGAAAAAGACACAGCCACTGCGATGAGGCCTAATGATGAGAAGACACTGCTTCCGCGACTTTTTTTAAAAACCAGAGAGAGGAGGACACCTGTTGGTTAAGCAACTGCCTCCGGCTCAGGTCAGATCCCAGAGTCCCGGGATCAAGCCCCGCCTCGGGCTCCCGGCTCCACGGGGAGTCCCCTTCTCCCTCTGACCTTCTCCCCTCTCATGCTCTCTCTCACCATCTCTTTCTCAAATAAATAAATAAATAAAATCTTAAAAAAAAAAAAACAGGGACGGAAGGAATAGGGACAGTGAATGACACATTATAGTCAAGACGTGATCTTATCCAGTTCTTATCAGAACAGGAAAGGAGCTGCCCCCAGCCTACACCATCTTCTGACTTCTCGTCTCTGGCAGTCGCCATGGAGCCGCCATCGCGGCCTCACTGTCGGCGGAGTGAGAGGGCGGCCAGGACGGACTCCCAGTGCGGAGACGCAATCTGCCCCACAGGTAAGGCTTCTGAAATGCATATTCCTTCTTTAAAAGTTTTAGTAACACGAGAACGACTGGACCCCTTACCTTGTTCACGGGAAGGGTGCGGAGAACCATCAGCGACAGGAGACAGCGCTACAGAGGAAAAGCAGCGCTTCTAAAATACCGAGCAAAGAAATGGAAGCCCTGTGGAAGAGATCAGTTTCTCCTACCCTTCCTCTGTCACCGGCGCGCCCACACCAGGCGCAATAACTACCCGCCGTTCCACGTTAACATCAAAGTATTATTTTCGACCAAAACAGCTTAAGATCCCAAATCCAAAAGAAAGGGTACTTAATAGCTCTTAACTTCTCCACGTCGGTCTCTAATAGGTTTAGAAAATAATTCACAATTAGCCGCGGATGGACCGTCTTTGCCGTGAATGGAGATGTGAAAGATGTGCAACAAAGCACCACAAAGTGCACAGTTTATGACAACAGAAACATCTTCTCCCCTAGCTCCAGAGGCCACAGTGTCAGCGGGCCCGGGCTCTCTCTGAAACCTGTGGGTGAGGATCCTTCTCTGGCTCCTCTGGCTTTCAGGAGCCTGGATGTTCCAGAATTCCCATCGGCCTCCGCTGTCACTGGGCTTTCTCCCAGTCTCCTCACAGCAGCTTCCCTGTGCACAGCTGTCTCTGGGTCCAAACGTACCCCTTCTGCAAGGACACCAGTCATCCTGGATCACGGCCTATCCTAAAGATCTCATTTTCACTTAATCAGCCTGTCTGCAGCGTAGGTTCAGAAAGTGGAAAAATGAGAATATTTCAATGTTCATTAAAGGGGGTGCTTTAGTTCAAGAGCTTAAGTGCATTTCAAATCCTTCTACACACTACAAGCCAGCCGAACAACACTTTAATCAACCGTAATTGTGTTTTAAACAAATCAAAGGGGGTAGAGGAAAAGAGTTGGAACCAGAACATGGAAACAGCATTTTTTTTCCCACAGTGCCAAAAATCTGCTCCCCAAACCGCTCTTCTTCTTCCAACTCAAAGGCTACTGGAGTTATCTTCTGTAGGACGAAGACCACGCGCGACTAACAGGAATCCGTCCGACACCGGCACGGCCAATGGACGTGGCAGCACCCGTGTCACCACCTGCGGCGTCTGAAGATAGAAGCTCCTTGGGCTCCCTGTAAATTCCCAGGGAAAGGGGGCAGACTTTTGTCCTTGGCGCGTCACGACCTTACCAAGCAGTGCTTGACAGACGCGGGGCACGTAGCGAACGCCTCCCTGACGGGCTTAGACCACGTTCACCGAACTCCTGCAAATAAATGCCTTCACACACAACTAAGATGGGTCTTGGTGAACTCAAGAGTTCTGGTAACGTATTTCTCAAACCAGACAGACGGGAAAGGTTTGCGTTGATTGGCACGTGAGCGCAAAGTTGAAGACCGGGTGTCAGGAGTGATACATTCCGGTACCGTCTCTGTTTTCTCCGTCTCAGTGACCACCCCCTCCTCTGTGCCCCTCGGACCTACCCTCCACCGTGCTCTGTGCTCCCAGAGTACCTGGGCTCCCTGGCTTTTGGCCTCCTGTTCAGTTGGGCCAGTGACAGTCTCCACAGGGACCAGGGTCGAGAAGAGACCTGCTAGGACATTCACTTCTCCTCGGCGCCGTCCCTGCCAATCTTCCAACAGCAGTAACACCACCTTCTGGGTGAGGGACCTGCCCTCCTGTGTACTGGCAGCTCTCGGGGGAGTCCTGGCACCCCAGTCCTCTAGCTGCCAGGGCTTTGTGACCCCTGTGTGTCTCCCCCAAACCCTGCCCACACCTGTGTGCCCTCACTACATTACACTTCTGGTGGCCCCTTTTGTTCTTGACGAACATGGACAGGAGACACTCTGATATTAGTGACTTGGGTCACTAGAAACTTTGGGTCATTATTTGATTTAAAAAATCTCTTTTATTTAAAGACTTTATTTTTACGTCATCTCTACACCCAACGTGGGGCTCAAACTCACAACCCCCGTATCGAGAGTCACCCACTCCACCGACCGAGCCAGCCAGGTGCCCCTATAATCCCTTCTCGCCATTTCCT